CTGATTTTCTGTCATTGGTGTTCAATGCATCAAATCTATTCTTTAGATGGTCTCTAAATTCAGGAGGGATATATTTGAGGTCTTATTTTTGGCTCTCATGGACTTATTTTAACTGTCTTCACCTTCAACTTGAACTTGTATATGAGCAGTTGATGGTCTGTTTCACATTCAGCTCCTGGCCTTGTTTTGGCTGAAGATAATGAACTTTTCCATTGCCTCTTGTCACAGATCTAGTCAATCTGATTCCTGTGTACTTCATCTGGTGAAGTCCACATGTATATCTGCCATTTGTGTTGTTGGAAAAGGTATTTGCAATGAATAAGTCATTGGTCTTGGAAAATTCTGTCATGTGATCTCCAGTGTTATCTCTATCACCAAATCCAAATTTTCCAACTAGCAGTGATTCTTCTTTGTTTCCCTCTTTTGCATTTCAATCACCAGTGATAATCAGCACATCTTAATTGCATGTTCGGTCAGTTTCAGATTGCAGAAGTTGGTCAAAATCTTCATGTTTGGTTTTGGTGGTTAGTGTGTAAATTTGAATAATAGTAGTATTAATTGGCCTTCCTTGTAGGTGTATGGATATTATTCTATCACTGACAGTATTGTACTTCAAGATAGATCTTGAAACAGTCTTTGTGATGGCGAATGCCATGCCTTTCCTCTTCAAGTTGTCATTCCCGCATAGTATATCATATAGTTGTCTGATTCAAAATGCCCAAAACTAGTCCATTTCTGCTCACTAGGATATCAATCTTTATGCGTTCCATTTCATTTTTGACAACTTCCAATTTTCCTAGATTCATACTTCATACATTTCATGTTCTGATTATTAATGGATGTTTGTGGCTGCTTCTTCTCAGTTTGAGCCATGCCATGTAAGCAAATGGAGGTCCTGGAAGCTCTATTTTATTCATATCATTAAGGTCAGTTCTACTCTGATGAGGCAGCTCTTTCCCACTGGTATTTTGAGTACCCTCCAACCCGAGGGGCTCATCTTCTGGCACTGTATCGGACAATGCTTCAGGGTTATTCATAAAGTTGTCCAGTGTGTCACTGCTATTCATAAGATTTTCCCTGGCCAATTCATTGAGAAATGGATGGCCTCTTCCTTCTTCTGAGTCTGTCTCAGTCTGGAAGCTCCACTGAAACCCATCCACCATGGGCAACCCTGCTAGCATTTGAAATACTGGTGGCACAGCCTCCAGCCTCACAACAACACGTAGCCACCACATTACGACAAACTGACAGACAAGTTCATCTCCCTTAGCTGCTCCAAAACCACTCCACCCACTTCCTGAACTTCCCCCTACCTGTTCTGGCCATCCGTCCTGGCTTTCAGCTTCCTGCCTGGGTGGGGGTTCTCTCCCCCCTTACCTGTATCTGGCCATCTTCCCTGGCTTCCCACTTCTATATATATAAAAGCACACACACACATATACATATATACATAAACATACACGTGTATATATATATGTATATGTCGTGTGTGTGTGTGTGTATATACACACACACACACACACACACAAGTGCCATCTGTTCGATTCCACCTCATAGCAACCCCTATTCAGAAGCAGATTTCCCCATCTTCCTTCTGCAGCGTGGCTGGTGGGTTTGAAACCTCCAACTTTTTGATTAGCAAATGCCTTAGGCATTGTGCCACTAGAGCTCACTTGCTCAATTGCTCTTGTGTCTCTCTCTCAGAATGTGTGTGTGTGTGTGTGTCGATACAGATGAGCCCAATGAGGTAAGCTGGCACTCAAAACTGAAGGGCCCACTAAGATCCAAAATTGGCATGAATTTTCAGTGAGAGAGCCATTGGATGGTTTTAAGCAAGAGAATGATTTGATTTATGACTAAGAGATCCCTCTGGTTGTGGAAAGAATGGAAAGGACAGGTAGAGCTAGTGGTTTCAGGGGACTTTTGTAGCCTTGGTGAGTAATGCTGTTGGCTTGGACTATTAGGGTGGTAGCACTGCATGGAGATGTAAATTTGGTGTACCTTTGTGAGGTAGCCCCAGCAGAACTTGCTGCTGGACCAAATATAGATTGTGAGGGAAAGAGCAATAATATGGCTGACTGCTGTGTCCGACCTAAGTGGGGCATGGCGCCTTTTCCTGAGGTGGCTCAATGGTTAAAGCATTTGACTGATAACCCTTAGGTCCGTGGTCCTCAACCCTACCAGCTGCTCCATGGGAAAAAAAGATGTGTCAGTCTGCTTCCTGAAGATTTACTACTTTGGAACCCCTGTGGGGCAGTTCTACTCTGTCCTATAGGGTCACTGTGAGTCAGAATCACCTCAATGACCATGGGTTGTGGTTTTTTTTTTGGGGGGGGGGGGCAGTGGTGGATTGTGGGATGTGGGGGGTAATAAAGTTTTCTTTTGGGGACACTTTAAGCCAGATAGTAGGAGCTCTGGTGGCCTAGTGCCTATGGCATTTGACTGCTAACCAGAAGATTGGTGGTTCAAACCCACCAACCACTCTACAGAAGGAAAATGGGGCAATATACTTCCATAGTAATTTACCACCTTGGAAACCCAATTGGGGTCACTATGAGTCAGAATCGACTAGATGACAGTGAGTTTGTTTTTTAAGCCAGGTGCATGTTTTCTATAAGTCACTCAGACTGGGTGGACGATTTTTGAGTCACTACACTTCTGGGCACCTAGGAAGCAAGTGAGGGTTCTGCCTGAGCATCAGAGGGATAGGGAGAAACCAGCTCAAGGACAAAAGGCAAAGCTGAGAGGAATTCCAGCAGGGAATCTTGCAGGCCATGCAAGGTTTGAGATTTTCATTAGTGTGAAATGGGCAGCCATGGTAAAGCTTGTGTGTGTGGTTAAAAAAAAATGTTATTGTTGCTATTTTGTGCTGTGGAGTCAGACCCGACTCATAGCGACCCCTCCTTCGGTTTCTGAGGCAGTATCACTATGGAAGTAGATTGCCCCATCTTCCTTCTGATATAGATATATAGAGAGAGAAAGAGAGAGAGAGAGCCATTTTAACATTTTTTACATGTACAGTTAATTCAGTGACATTAATTATATCATCATGTTGTATACCCACATGTAAGGGCTTTCAGTGTGACAAGAGCTGACCAAGTCCTCCTTTGTGGAAAGTAGGGTATAGGGTAGGGTTGCCAGATTTAGCAAATAAAAAAGAGGTTCAGTTACATTTGAATGTCAAAATACTTTAGTGTAAGTATGCCTAATGCAATATTTGGGACATACTCATACTGAAAATGTACACCTCATTTCTCTGACATTCAAATTTAACTGAGTGTTCTGTGCTTTATCAGGCAACCCTAACAAAGGAGCAGGGTCTCTGCAGGAATTCCAGGGAGACAGAAATGGAGCCCTGGTGGTGCAATGGTTAAAGCGTTTGGCTGCTAACCTTTAGGTCCAAAGTTCCAACCAACTAGCTGCCCTGCAGAAGATGAGACAGTCTGCTTCCTAAAGATTTACAGCCTTGGAAACCCTACGGGCCAGTTCTACTCTATCCTACAGGGTCGCTATAAGTAGGAATCCACTCAGCGGCAGTGGGGTTTTTGTTTGTTTTTAGAGTAGTAGCTGAGGTGTGAGGAGGGACCACAGAAAAGATGCAGGTGGCCCATTTGGTGCACTTTCTGTAGAACAGCTCAAGGAAGACGAGCTTCTAGGATCTTCCACGTCTTTTGCCCTCAGCATCTGGTTCGCCTCCAGCAAGAAGACAGCAGTGTTGGCCGAGCAGAGGCGGCTTACTCGGCTCTTTCAATGTTTTCCAGCTGGCCCCTCCTCTGGCAGGTGTCCGAGCTTTGGCTCTCACAGCCTCCACAGTGCACTCGCCCCCAACTGTTGTTGTTGTTTGCTCTCGAGTCAGACCCGATTCATAGCGACCCCTCCTTGGGTTTCCGAGGCAGTATCACTACAGAAGTAGATTGCCCAACCTTCCTTCC